TAACTTTGTGTTTTGAGCTATGAAATTTAAATTCTTCGTAAAAAACTACTAATTCTGCTCTATATACTAGCTACATTAAATAAAATCTAATAAAATTGTTTCATAATATTTATAAATATTGATACATTGATACATATATTGATATAACATATATTTAATATATTGCATGGTACTAAACAGTGTTGTATTATGTTATTCTCAAGAAAACAAATGATTCGAAGATTTATCATCTTTAAATTCAATTTATCAGCTGCCCGTTCTATTTGTTGAGAGATTATATAGATACTTAAATGTTATATTATATAGATAGGTAAACGATTAATTTGGCAGTAACAGTTGGTATGCATAGGATGTAAGAAATAGTGATTTCTTTAATAGTCATCCTCTCAAAAAGAATAAAATTAAGGTTTTCAAAATAACTTTTTTTTACAAAATTTGAGGCATTATAAAATTATTTATCATGCTGTTAATTACATACGTTTTTTCATAGTATTATAATTTATAAAAATTTAATTTTGAACTATTATTTTATATGTTATACGAGTATTAAAATTAAAATGTTGAACTGATCCGAGATAATAGTGGACATACATTTTGAGGGGAATCTTTATACCACTACACTTCAATTATTATAAAATATCTAAATACTTACTTTTAGGATAAAGGTAATAATTAATTAACTGTTCGTTTGAAATTCGTTTTTCAAACAGTTTAAGTCTTAAGAAAATATTTTGTTTTGGAATTTGAATCAAAAAAATATATGCTCCTTTAAAAGAGTAATAAAAACTTAAAACAATATCGTCATATAATTTTTTTTCAAAAATGTTGTTTTGTAATAATTGCATATCATGTAAAAAAAAAAAAAAATATTTGGGAAAACATGTTTTTACTTGTTTACAGCTTAATTACTTTTTAAATTCAGTATAAATCACGCGAAATATCAATGTCAATATAGCATAATACAGTACATTAATAAATTATAATATGTAAACAATTATAAAATTGCATTTATTTTATATTTATAATAAATAATTTGGATACTTTTAATCTTTATATTTTATAATATACTCGTAAACTAGATGGCAGTAAGTTGACTGTGGGTGGGTATTGCCGAGTATCTTTACAGTCTTTAGCGTTGGCATATTGTCATATTAAACTATAGTTGACGAAAGATATTTTTGCGCTATTGTTAAGAAATATTAATATTATATAAATAGTCCATAATACTCATCTATACTGCATGTACAAACTTCAATTTTGGATGCAGCATGTTATACATAACACATAAGATCTCTAAATTAACCAATTTTCTATTATTTTTTAATGTTTAAACAGCATAAACTATCACAAATAAAATAAAATAAAGATAATAATGTATTTCCTTTAAAAAGTATAATTAAATTACGACTGGGCATATAAGTAATAAAAATAAATAACAGTACTAAGCACAAACAAAGAGTTCAGTAACACGAGTTTATAGTAAAATAGTTGTCTGATTTGCGATAACTTGAATTAATTCATGGAGCTACAAAATAATGTGTATAACATACTCGTGCATGTTTATATACCTATATACAATATACTTATACAAACCATGCATGTACTGATTTGATGTAGAAGTTTTCACGGATTTACTGTTAGCCAAAGATAATAATAATTATTATAATATCATTTTACATCATATAGCGGGTTCTTGTCGTAATAGAGAACACCGTCCATTACCTATCTTAAAACATTTTATTAGAAAAATAATTAATGTTTTTTTATAGACATATGTTAATAATAATTATACACTAAGTAGATAATTTTTAGTAAGTGGTTGTTCTTGATGGCGCTTTGTCATATTCTTTTAAGATATTAAAAAATAGCCTTTCTCAAGGTACCATAATATATCTAAAGTGCTTTATAAAACTTTTTTGAGTAATTAAAAAAAAAATTAATTTAAAATCAAAAAATTTAATTTAAATTCAATAACGCAACGTCCTTGTAAATATAGTAAATATTTAAAATAACTAAGTTTTACAAAGTTAAAATTTACAGAGCTCTGTTCCGTAATGCGATAATTGACGACCGCGGTCTGCCGGCCTAAATATAGTTGAGTACAACATCATATATGTACCAATGTACTATACATCCATATACTATTTTATTATCCTCAATTCACACTCCCATATATGGTAACTATATCTACTAACTTGTACGGCACGTGTAGTTTTCTATAAATAAGTAGAGAACATTTAAGTATCTAATAACTATTATAGGTATAGGTAATAAATATAGTTGTTGTGTTTCACGGGTTTGACAAATCGTGAACAATTTTATAATTGTTAATTTTTTTACGTAAAATTATTAGTTTAATACACGAAAAAAAACCTATAAGTACCTAAAGCAGTGATCTCAAACTCAAATTACCTACGGGCCATATATTTTTTCAAAAAAAATTCGCGGGCCAAATTTTAAGTATCACTTTTATACTTAAACACTAGAAACTAAAGACAAAATGAAGACAAAAATACATACAAAATCCATTTATTTACTTTTTATTACTACAAAATTATCATTGAAAAAATATAATGATCGTTAACTTAAAATAAAATTATAATTAAAATTTAAAAATAGCTTGAATATTTGATAATTTTTATTTTTGAGCTGCAATATTTTCATATTTTTGTTCAAAATGTATTTTTATTGCGGGCCACATAGAAGGGGTTCGCGGGCCACTTGTGGCCCGCGGGCCGTATGTTTGAGACCACTGACCTAAAGTATCTATATATTATTAATGTATAATTTTAGATGTGTCAAAAATAATGTAAGGGCCCAGAGACTTTGTTTTCAAAAAAAATCTCCTTACATATTCCATATAATAACCTATACATAGTCTATACAGGTAGTTACTCTTAAATACCTATAACATTATGGATTTCCTTAATCTATTTCATGTAATCGACTGTAGGATGAGAATATATAGTGTCGTGTTCATAGTTAATACGGTAATTGCCTACATATTATACTATTGTACCTAATCAATACGAGGTTATTGACATTTTTGTAAAAATGCTTTAATAGTCATACAGTATAATATACGTATTATACTATAAAATAAACGGTTAATTATTTATCAATAGAAACTATATTCTTTTGAAATGTATTTATGCTTCTCTAAAAAAGTTTAAGATTTAGGTAGGTACTACACGTATAAAATTATAACAATTAAATTACTCTTAATTTTCCTTATCTGAAACACTTATATAAGAAAATTAAACATTTTTATCAAAACAACTAAGCGTTAGTTTTCTTTTATTTGTGATTTTATTTAAATAGCTCAAACTTAGCCTACTCATCTCAATTTTAAATGCTAATTCATTGAAAAAAAGAATCATTAGATTTATACATTTGATATTAGTTATAATTTATTTATATAATTATTCATACATGTACATAAGCACTTTAAAAAAAGTATTCTGCTATGTATTACAAAATAATAAGTATTGGTGACCATTTAAAAATCAAAATTTTATGTATATACAACAAACATAAAAGGGTGAAATTAATAAGAGCAATAAAAAATGTTAAAATTGTATGGCATTAATATCAAATGATCCATAAATACGTTTTTGAAAATGATTGTAGTAAATAGTAGATAATATTTTACGAAATAATGAAAATATCGTTCAAATGGACGTACAAATCGTAATTATCTCACAGTCATCACTATAAAGAAGGAATTAAAACCATTTTAACGAAACTTAAATAGAATAGAAGTATTGTTATAGTCTCTTCAATTATATGTAGATTTAAAAATAGTGGTTTGACTTAATCGAGATGATATAAAATAGTACGCAGTCATGTATTGTCGGATATTTACACATAAAATACAATTTTCACTTTCAGAGTTAAAAAAAAGAAAATCCCAGCCTTAGTCCTTTATACCACATCATCGATTATACTGTATATTACTGTATGTCCGTATGTCTAATATAGTTATATAATAAAATGTAAGACTGAAGAAAAAGATTTGGGTTTTCAACATCTAATGAAGAAGGTGGATCGTTTTAGATTTTTTACTATTTTGGACTTGAAATAGCGAGATTATATTCTTGCATCAAATTAAGAACTTAAGGGTTAAAAACTTTAACTTCTAAAATATTTAACGCATGGCCCGCAAAAACGTATTATATCTATTGGGTATGACCTAACATATAGCCACATGGGTACCTTTTTAACTAACTATTCAGTATTCAGTGATTTTTTTACGATATTTTCACTCAAGTGAAAAATAATTACAAGGCGTCGTTTACTATTTATAACACACGTGTGTAATTTTTGATCAATAACATTTTAATTAGGTAACGAACGTACGAAACAATAATATTACGGTTTACGTTAATAATGTTATTGCGAATCAAATTAACAAAATTAGCTGCGACATCTAGGTTTGAACGTAAACATTGCGTTTAATTATAAAAAAAAACCACATACTTAGCTTCATATAAGGAAATAAGAATATTTCTCATATTAATATTATGTCTATGAAGAATAATGATTAATTATTTTACAATGATTTAATGTCCAACTGTTATATTCATAGTTGTTTTGTTTTCTTATTAAATGAGAATTTACTGAAACCAACAGAGTGGATAAAACTAGTAGAAACAATTTAACGATATTGGATTTGTGCGAGTAAAAAAAAAACAAAAATAATAATTATTAATTTAACATAAAAATGAATAGTATATTGTCATTATTATTTTATTACATAGATATTATTATTTTATCATTCTAATACCCTATTAGTAAATAACAAATATCATATTATACAGATACAGAATATTATTATGCCGACGGGTCTAATAATTTCAGTATTCAGCTCTATCTATCCATTATTTTAATGTAAACTCAATCGTCTTTATATCAACATCAGTGGGGCATGAACATTGAACATGATAACGAAACTAATAAACAACAATACAATTTATAATGTTTATTACATGATCGTCATGATCATAGCATAATATATTTTTATTATATAATATTACAATTATTTATTACTAATTATATATTTTTCTACCATCTATTTACCTACGGTATAAGCAATTCAACGTCATACAACGCGAAAATAGTCGGTTCTTGGGATATATTAACCTTTTTGTGATCGTTCGTGTTATGACAACAAACGACAAACATAGCAGTTCTATGAAATTGTGGAACTATAGATCATTAGAAAACACTAATATTTTGGGTTCCTACTGGATTTAAATTTATCGTAATTTTTTACAATATTTCAGTTTACAAATTAATCATAAGCATTAATTATGTCTTATTAATTCATATTTAGTAACCAATAATTGTATATTAATGCGATGGAGTTACTTAGTTGTATATATTATGTTATAGTTGGATATAATAAACATTGATTATTCGTGTTAATAATCAATTTTATATTATTGTGCATTTGTAAAGATTATACAACAAGTAAGTATTCTCTTAAATTAATTTGCCTACCTATTTTTATTTACCTCAAATGCCCTCAGTTGATTCGGATGTATATTGTATACCTTACATTATTATTTTCAACAGATACTCAGACATGGATAATCAACTAGATATTATGTTGGAGAATACTAATTCAGAATTTATTACCTTATCGTATGCTGATCACTCATTGGTCTCTCATCCCGAACAATTATCTGTTGAGTGTACAGATATGAGTAAGTATCCAAGTATTTGTATTAAGTGTTGATGATGTACTTAAAACAATAATGTAGACTTGAATGAAAATTAAAAAAAATAAAAAATAAAAAATAATAGTATAGCACGTTACATGTTATCGTTAAAAACTCTTTTGTCTTATATACCTAGTCTTATATTTTATACTACCAGTGCAACAAACATTGTCATATTTTTTATCAAGTTATTTGAATTTTTAGGGTCACTAAACTTGACTGTTAAGTATTTAAAGATTGTGATTGCTAATTTTTATTTTTAACCAAATCTATTATTTATAATTTAAAATTAATAATTATTATCTTAATATTAAAAATAATTTTTTTTTTTTTTGATTTTAGAGGTATAAATAATAATGTTATGTAGTTAAATATTTAATTCTAAAAGTTTACTAATGTAATTTATAATTTATGAAATATTATATTCTTTAGTTTTAGACCCAGTTAATTGTCAAAATATTAGTGCCATGACTCCATTAAACGATTTGTTATTAGGACAAACATTCTTAATAGAGACTAATGAACAACCATTATTTGTAAATGGCACAGAGGTAAAGAATTTTGATTTCAATTTTATCTATTTTTGATATTAATATGGTTTTTTCTTTTACAGTTAATTACTTTCCAACATATTGACTCTAACGGACAAATAAATGATATCCAGACTATTTCAAATAACACCGAATCTGATAAATTGACAATTGAAAATATTAATTTTACTATGGATTCTGATGATCATTTCCAAGAAATTTATTCAGATTGTAATAATTGTATAATAATTTATTATTATTATTTTTATATAGTTTTATTGCAATTTATAATTTTATAGTTAATAAAACCAATTTGGATATGATGAAAACTACTGATGACAGTAGCAACTTGAAAGAACATTTGCAAGTTTCGATCAACACTGATATAACTAGTGGGAACTACAGTTATTCAACTGCTATTAAAATTTTAGATGATGTTGCTAAAAGTCCTGTTGATACTAATGTAAGTTAACTTTTGATAAATTATTTAAGTAGGTATAAATAAATAAATATTATTAATTATTAATTTAAATCATGATGAGTAATTATTATATTTTATTTAGGGTCATTTTGTTTGTGATCTGTGTTTACACGAATTTAACAACTGGAAAAATTATAAGAAACATAAATTAGAACATTTAAATGATAAGCCATTTAAATGTTTAAAATGTTTAAAATCATTTAACTATAATGTAAGTTATAATTATTTGCTATAAATATATTGATATAATTTAAAATTTGTTTATGTATATTATATATATTTACAGAATAACTATTTACTTCACATTGCTTCTCATTCAACAAGCAATTTAAAATGCCCAAAATGTAAAAAAGAATTTAAACGCATAGCTAGCTTTAAGGCTCATTTAAAAATTCATAAAACTGAAGAATTGATTACATGCAGTATTTGTGATAAAATATTTGATAATCAGGTACTTAATTATAGTTGATTTATTCTTATTTATAAATATAATATTCAGTGATTCCTGTTTATTTTAATGGTGAATAATTTGTTTTGAAAGCCTAGACCTATGCCCATAGTAATTAATATTTGATTATACTGGAAATTCATTACACAATGTAATAAACATGTCGTTTTTATTATCAATGTACTATTTTATATTTCTATAGGTTTAATATATACTTTCTTAATTATGATAAAATAATAATAATAAAAACATAAATATTGAAAATTCAAATAATAAATGTTGCTCAATTTGTGGGTTTCACAATATATTTAATAAATTAAATAAAATAGTATAAGTTGTTTGAACTTCAAACTTTGAAGTGGGTTTATTATGTAACTTCCTTCTATAGACCACAGTCCTTACTATATTACAGCTAATAAATTAGTAAATGCTTTATAATTGTATATGTATTGTACTGTGTATATTATATTATATGATGTCATAAAATTACATTTTTATTTTAGTATCGATTGGACATTCACAAAGAAAATTGTATGCAAGAATATATAATTAATCCCCACGAAGAAACATCTGTTGCTTGTATTAAAACATGTACAGTTTGTAATAAGTTTTTTTCAACTTTACCAGAGTATAAAATTCACATCAAGGAACATAGAAAAGTAAGTAGGATTTATTATTTATTGTTTATAATAATTTAATCGATTGCGAGAAAAATAGATTGCAATGAAACAAATAAACTTGTCCATTTTTAAAAGTAAATATTTTCAAAAATACTTAATAATTAAAATAAAGTTTATTTTTATTTTGCTTGTTTGAGATACTGGCATTTTTTATGAATTATATTTCAATAATTAAGTTTATTAAATTAGTAATTTAAATATTGTTGATCAATTAAGTGGTAAAATTTAATTACCAATTATTTATTTTTTATTTTAGTTTGATTCGGTGTTAAAAAAGTATCATAAGGTTACTTCAAAATTAAAAAGGTTACATAAAACTAGTAATAAATTCAAAAGATTTAAATGTGATCATTGTGATTGGTCATTTAATAAGTCAAATCTTTTACGCCGTCATATGAGAACACATACTGGAGAAAAGCCATTTGAAGTTAGTTATTTATCAAATTATTACTATGAGATTGTTATTCTAGTAATATATAGGATTAAAATAAAATTTTTTTATAGTGCTCATTTTGTTCAAGATACTTCACTCAACAAAATTCATTAAATAGACACTTATTGAAACATAAAGGAATACGGCCGTTCAGATGTGAATTCTGTGAAATGAGTTTTTGTCAAAAAGGTCATTAAACAGTATGAATTAATTTATATTTAGCACATTGTTTAGATATGAAATAAAAATTATCATTTAAAATGTTATAGGTCATTTAATTAATCATATGAAAACATGCCATTCTGTTACGAAAGAAGAAACAAGAGTTCATAAATGTGTTTTGTGTTCTTGTGTTTACAATAGTACCAATGCTCTTAATAAACATATGAGTGTTTACCATGGATTGAAAACTAAAGACTTAGATAAAATTGTTGAAAATCATGTATCAAAGAGCTTAGAAACAGCTAATGACGAAACTATACATTTAATTAAAGGTAAAAAAAAAATAGTCATACTTAGATTTTTATTAGAAAATAATTTTTTAGGTGCATACATAAATGCCTTGTGGATATTTTGTTCTTGAAAATTTAATGCAAATCGTAGACAGTTTAAAGAGTTCATTGTTTAAAACTATAACATTTGAGGGTATCATGACCATTTTTGTGTAAAATATTATTTTATCTTGAAAATTGTAAAAGTGATATCCATTACTTTTTAATTAATACATGATTCTTACTTCATAAAGGTTTCTTCATACTGAAAATATTTTAAATTAACTGCATAATAAAAATTCCCCAAGAAAATTTTTTTTCCACATTACTAAAAAAAAGCTATAGAATGCAATATTCCCATTTGTATTTTTCAATGACAGTAATCGAATAAATATTTTTATAATCTTAAATAAACACATAACTATTCTATCTTTTCTTGAGAATTCTTATACTAACTATTATTTTAAATATACTTAGAAGTTCTAAGATTGAATAAAATTTAAAATTTCTGCATCAAATAGAATTAAGCACTTATGGATGATTAATTTTTTGTTTGTAAAAAAACATTTTCCAGTAATCTAATAGTCTTTGTATTATGTTTACATTCTACATTGTATTAAATTATTTTTATGGTTTTTATGTTTAGATCCCTCAAAGTTAGAACAATGGCTTAAAGAAGTAGCTCATGAATTACAAAGTGGTGATAATAATACAGAATTAAAGTAACCTAAAATTTTGAATATATTGATTTAAAAATGTTCTTATATATTTAATATTGCTTATTTTATAGGAATTGCAATGATCCAATTACTACTCAATGTGAATTTGGATTAAATATAATTGAAAGTGAACATTTAGATCAAATTTTGAGCCCAATTTCCAATATAAAAACTAGTGATCACATTGAAATTGAAAACTTGACATATTCTATTGCAGATGGTATTACATTTTTATTAGATGTATACATGTATTATAAAGCCTTGAATTTTAAAATATTAGTATCATTAAAATTTCAATAAAAAATTGGTGATTTGTTTAGTTAATTTTACTATAAAGTTTAAAATAGTAGAAACAATAAACCAATAAATTTAAAAATTGATTGTAAGTGGACGCTTGTGTTTCTGCATGTGTCATTGTTGTTACACTTACCTATACTATGATAATTTTTATGTGGAGAAGAATCTATTTTACTGTTGTTAATATTAAATTAAACTTACTATATAATTCAAAGGTATCAATACTATTATCAAATTGTACATTTTTAAAAATTTAAAATACTCATAACTTGTTTTATCATCGAAATATGGAAAAAGCTTATATAAAGCCTTGGATAATATTCCTACTCTTCATTTTTATTAAGTTTAATTTATTCTAATAAAGTAAAAAGTAAAATGGATTCTTCTGAATGTAAGATTAAAGTAATTAAATAAAGTAGTAAAAAATGATTAATACATAGGTAACATAACATACCTATGTACCTGATTCTTACTATAGTTTATATATAGTTATAACAGAACACAGTTTATATTCTTTTCTATAAATATGATAAGTAAATTTGTTCTAACATAAACTTTATTTTTTCATCAATTACCTCTAAACAATTTGTATATATTCTGAGGTTCAAAATGTTAATGTATAGTGGTCACAAGAGTTATAATACAGTTGCATGTTTCATCATTGCTAAAATTATTAATTAATTATTGATTTGATTTTATAGGTGAAAATTATATTGTTATGAAGGATAATCAAGACCAATCAATAATTGAAAATGCTATTGTCCAAAGCCAAGTATTTATTTTTAAATATTTATAACCTTATACATAGAAAATAGGTGATAATTTAGTAGTAGGCACTTTGAGCATTTTTAACTCAAGATAACTTTAATATTTCGATTATTTGGTTTGTATTAATTATGAAACAAATTCAAGGATAATAAATCAATTTGTATAGTTCTAATCAATAATATTCTAGTATTTATCATTTAATTTTTTTAAAGAATCTGATTGAATTCATTAAAACTTTAGATATAAAAGTATACAGCATATTATTTAAATTTTAAGGTTTATTGTTAAGTAATAACTATTATAATAAGTTAGACGAGTATGATAGAGTTCTATAACTATTTTGTTCAATTACAATTTAGCTATATAATAAATAAAATAATATGTCCTGATTCACGGACTAATTATCTCTTAGCCAGAACTACTAAAGCTACATATATGAAATTTAGTCAGTAGTTTTTGTTTCTAATTTAGGGGATCATTAAGAAAGGGTTTTCCAAAATAATTCATCCCTTTAAAACGTAAAAAGGTGTAAAATGAGGCAAAAATTAAAAATGTTATTTTTTGGTAAAATTTTTTCTTGAACAATGAACATAATATATATTTTATAACAGTCTTTCTAAATTATAATTGTTTTTAACTTATGGCCTGAATTTCATATTTAGTCAAAATCATTTAAATGATTTAAAAAGTTGTAGTTTTAATTTAATGGGGTTTAAAGCAGAGTAGTAAACCTATTGGCGTTATTTAATTTGTCACTAACAATGCTGTGTGAACCAGTGTTCACATATTTTGTTATATAATTTAAAATTTTTATTCTTTGCTGATAATGATAAGTTATTCATATTTTGTGTATTTTTTTTCTGTGGAAACAAATTAATTTAGAATTATTAATATTTTTTAGGGATTAATAGTGTATAATTTATCTTACCTATTAAAATTTTAAGTTTCAATTCCTAAAATAATTTATAGTAGGTTCTTAAATCAATTTTCATTTGTCTATACTAATTTTATATAATTTCTGTTTTCAATTAAAATTTAAACATTTTTCTTTCATATCTGTGTTTTTGATAAAAAAATAATCACTTAGAAAATATTTACTCATCAATTATTTCAATGATTTTGAGTTGTTTAATAATTAATAAGTTAAAAAAAAAAAATCTAAGTTAATATGTTATTGAGAAAAAAAAATCAAATTAATTTTTTAAACATGTTGTATTAAAAATATAATAGAGTAGTTAAAAAAAAAAAAAACACTTATGTCAGGTTGCATAAGACATTTTATTATTCAATGCAATTTAATAGATTAATGATGGGCTACAAAATCATGTTTAAGAGACCGTTAGCTCACTATTGATTCTTTAAATATTTAATGATTATTCATACATAGCATAATGATATTATCTATTAAATGGATATTATTTTGTACATTATGCTTATTTAGTAACATATTATAGTATTCATAACTTTGTGGTTAATATTATATAGTTGTTACCTTTTATGGTAAAAATGTCAAAGATAAAAACAAAATAATGTTGATTTATGAATTACTAATATTACACGTAGAGTACTAACATATACAGTCATAATTAGAAAAATGGAATTTAGTGTTCATTAGTTTTTAATAATATTATGAGTTTTTTTATATTACAGGAAGTGGAACTAGTAACAACTGCTACTGAAAATGGATCAATATCCTTAAATGTTATAAATGAAACCACTAAGAAAGTAGGCAATATATTTATTAAAAATGTACAATTTAAATTTTAGTTGCTAGGTGTTAGTTAATTTATATACTATTAAATGAGTAATATTAACTAAAGAATTATTGATATTACATAATGTAACATATTATACTGTCATAATTTGAGAGATGGGTTTTAATTTCTATTAGCTAATTAGTTCCTAATAAAATTAACTGTAGTAAGAAAATTAAGCATATTGTATAAATGTTGAGTCCTCCCTGTTGTCGAACTTAAATTTCTTATTTAAAGTCTTACTCTTGTAATTTTAACCTTATATACTGAAATATATATTTACCCGATATTAATATAATCTATCTATATTATTATATATATATATTTTTATAAGTATGTTTATATTATGTATTTTTATATTACAGAGTATAGAACCTACTATGACTGTTATTGAAAATGAACCAGTATCATTAAATGTAGTAAAAGAAACCATAATAGAGGTAGTATATTTATTAGATTTTTAAGGTATAAATTAAAATTACTAAGTATTGTTTAATTTTCATACTATGAATACTAATGAATAATGTCAATAAATAAATTATTGATATAACCTGTAATTTATTCAGTCAGAATTAAGAAATAATTTGAATTCTAGTCTATTAGATAATTAACCTTTAATAAAAATTGAGGGTAGTAGGAAAATTTAAAATATTGTAGAAATTTTAAGTCTTCTTCATAGTAGTTAAATTCAAGTTCATTTTATTAATTATTCTTACTCTAAAAAAAAATTTAAAAAGGTACAGTAATTTTTCTAATACACCAAATAAAAATTAAAAATTGACACCTTACCTGTTGAAATATTTATTTATTTGATAATAATAAAATTTTTTGAACCTTTATATATATTTCTTTTTTTTCTTTTTGAAGTAACTATTAATATTACCTTTGTATTTTTGACATTCCAGGAGATGGGACCTGAAATAAGTGCTACTGAAAATGAATCAGTATCAACGAATGTTTTAAAAAAACCCACTAAAAAGGTAGTATATTTATTAGATGTATACGATTTACATATGTACTTAATTCTGTGTCATGTTAAATAGCGTCCTTCAAGAAAAAAAAAATGCGGTGATAAAATGTCTAAAATGGATGCACAAAAGATTTTGTAAGTTTTTAAGCAATAATATTTTTAATGTTTGATTTAATAATATAATAAAATTTTAGACCAAAAAAAAAAAAAGGGCGTACGTTTAACTTGAAAAAGAGGAATAGTATCAGTAATGAAGTTAAGAAAAATACAAATCACACTAGTAGTAAATCTGAGCCAAAAATTGTATACATACCAAATATAACTACTAATTCAGAAAAAAAAACCATTGATGTTGTAAGTTATAAATACTATTTTACCATACTAATTTTAAGAATTTCTTTATATATATATTTTTTTTAAATATGAAGACACAAAAACCATCACCAAAAGTGTGTCAGTTCTGTGAAAAAATATTTAAAAAGAATGCTGATCTCGAAAGACATGTAAGAATACACACTGGTGATAAACCTTATAAATGTGACCAACCAGAATGTAATAAAGCATTTGCCACTAAGAGTTCACTTGAGTATCATATAATCACTCATTCAGGTAAGATGAAAAGAGCTGAGTGCCCTCAGTGTAATGGATTATTTGCTACCACCTCAACTTTGAAAGTTCACATGCGGCAGCATACAGGTAATTGGTTATTATTTTTTTGATTAAATTACTTCTATTTAATTTGTTTGCTTAAACATTTTAAAAACAATATTATATGATATTATAAGTATAATTATGAGTTTACTATAATATTTTAGGAGAAAAACCATTTAAGTGTCCTGTATGCGGAGATGCATTTCGAACAACTGGGCATTTACATGCACATATAATAGTTCATGAACGAAAAAAAAAAACGCAAATAAAAATATATAATTTCCATCAGATTAAAATTTTATTTGTGATACATTTTAAAGTAATTATATCAACAAAAATATTACTGATGATCTTGAAAGTAAATGCAGGGTAATGCAGCCTTCTAATATCAAAATTAATTCCCTTGAATAGATTTTGTTAATAATTTGTTTGTTTATTAACCATGAGTAAATTATTATAGCCCCCTTCTGATATCCATAAATTAGAAATTACTAAAAAATATTCAGCCAGCCCTAGAGTTGACTTGGTTAGAAAAAACACTAAACATATTTATCATTATCAATATATTATTAATTAAAAATGTTAACTACTTTTGATATTTTTCTATTAAACGATCTATCTATATGCATGTAATAGAAATAAATAATGAAATAATAATTTGAAATTTGAAGACCATTTTTTGTTGTAAGAATTTGCACAAACATGTATTTAGTTTATATAAATGTATATTGCTCACATTAATGTATTATACAGCCATCTATTGATAATTTTATGATCATATTCTATCGTACATAAATTTTTATATACTAAAAGATTATATATTATGTTCCTATTAACTTAACTCAATCATGAATTGAGATAAATACCTATGTATAATGTATATGATAATCCTAATATATTAATTTAAGACCTTACTAATCACTAGAGCTAGGATTTTAATGACCTAAAATATACGTTTAAATGCAATGAAAAAATGCAAAAATGATCTAAAAACTCTAAAAATTGTACTTAGACAAGCAAAAAAATGTAATTTTAAAACAATTATTATTTATTCATTTTTTATATTATACTAAATAGGTAAAAATTTGTTTTAAGAAGTAAATTAAACAAATATATTTAAATTTTATTTAATAATTATTTATATTATTTTTTCAATATTAATGGACTAGAGTAGGTAAATGGGTTACCTAAACAGCACATATTAAAAATAAATTAAAATAAATAAAAATGAGTTTAAATAAACATTATTAATCTAATATTTGTAAAAATGACCTTAAAAATGCAATAAAATGCATTAAACACAAAAAATGAAAAATAAAAATTTCACATTCTAAATTATTATATAACGAAACAAATTTAGTTTTTGGTTAGAATTGTATAGTAATAAGGAAAAAAACATACAAAATTCATCAAAATTCTAGCTCTACTGATCACAAATCATATTTATAAAGCTAACACATACGCTTATCAATATAAAAGTGTACTTATTAGTTATAATTGTATTATGTATTTTAGAATAATTTTATATATTATATATAAGTATATAACTGTTAAAATTATTTAATACTTATTGTGCCTGTAACTGAAGATACAAATTATGTAAATTAGTAAATGTATAGATTTTTCAGATTATTTTTATTTAACCTTTAAACATAGACAAATCTCCTTCATAATTAAGTTTATAAATGAATAATAGTCAAAAATATGTCCTGATTATGCTGTTGTAGGAAGTTAATAGCCCTAAGCATATTATACTGTTTCTTATCTCTTAAATTTTTTTTGTCCCAAAAAATGTTTTATTGTATTTACATGTTTGCATATGAGTAGGTATCTCATGAGTGCCGATAGGTAGAATGGTAGATATAAAAACTACAAAATATAAGTTTTTAAAGGAAGGTTATTTTGCGCGACGTGTTTCAATATTGACTTATTTAACGGTATTTTCACTCAATTTTGCTGCAAGTGGGGTACTTGCAGCAAATCGCTCAGTATTTGATAAATGTGATTTACGTCATTTTTTTCACTGTAAAAATGACCATCAGTCATCACATATGTCATTATTGATTGTGTTATATACAATCTATATAATATGTGTTTACAATGCTTACATTATAACATTATCGATCAGTGTTATACATATAATATAATATATAATGTTTGAATTAAAAATTGACAAACTCCCTCTTTTTTTGTAAAAAAAAAATATACGTGTATACCTTTTAATCAATAAGATATTTAAATATTCAAGTAGGTAGGTATACCTACATTATTTTTACTTTTTCGAATTTCCTTCCATTTTTTTTTTCTAATAGCACTGGCTATTGTTAATATTTCAAAAAAATTTCTATAAGAAATTATTTTAATATGCTTGTTGTTTTTTCCTGTTCAGCCGTTGTCACGGTAAATTTGTTATTGTCATGTTTACTTAAATAACCATAAATCGGTTAATAAATATTCATTTTTATGATTAATTATTGTTGATTTAATGATATTTTTTTAAAGGTTTTTTTTTTTTTGCGAATTATTTAATAATTGTCATAAACCGCTATAGGAATACCGTATGATTAATGATCTTATACTTAAATAAAGTTGTAAAAAATTAAAATCAGTGTACGATACCAAGATTTCGCTGTCTGCATAAAAGTCGAAAATCTGTGGCATCCGATATTATTATTAATATAATATGTTCGTCTTGCGTAAGCCGCAAGTTTCTATAATCCAAAAATTAATATATTTATATAATTGATTAGGTAAAATATTTAACTTTTCTGTGTTGTAAAATTTAAAAAAGAAACATTGTTTTACGAATAATTTAATGTTTTTCACGTTAGTTACAATAAATAAAGAATTTTAATATAATAATATTACCGATGACTATACAACGTAATACCTAACTAATAAATCTACGACCATTTTTGGATATTTATTCAAACATAAGTAAATATTTTTATAATATATACAATATACATGAACAACGTATAAAAATTGAACAAAATAGAGTACCTACTCGCATATAAATTCGAATGTCATTATTTTAATATACATATACATATAGGTATATATTTTTATAGGTACCTAGGAACTAAGCACACATTTTTTTCTTGATGCGCAGTTAGTCGTATAATATGCGCAAATTCAAAATAAAATTGTGTATTATATCGTATTGTCACTGTTCGTCCGGCATGAGCAGAATATAATATATTCATTTTCACTGTTTCACTGCGAATGTATCTACACTCGTTCACTAAAAAGTTTTTTACTAGTTTTCATTTATGTTTTCGAGCAAGATATACGTAGACTTTTTGAACCCATATTAACGGCACATCTTAGCCTCCGTAGACAACATATCTGACCCTTATAGCCTAACAAATTAAAATCGACACTATCACACCGACCGTTAGAAATATATTTGCCAATTCGTTATGCGAGTCAGGTACCTACCTAAGACAGATCTATACAAATTTGTGTTCGGTTGCAATAGTCAACAGTAGTGGGAAAACTTGTAAACACACATGCATAGCAGTATTAGATGTATCGTGATAGTCGAACGCGATATTATATACCTAACATTAAATACGACGTTTGAATGGATACCGTCGTGCAGGCAAACTTTGGCATGTCGTAAATACTCATAAATTACACTAAATGGCGCACGCGATCACGGCCTGCAGTTTCTAGTGATATATGTAATCGCATAACTTGCACAATACTGCTTATAGATGGAAATACAAATGAAATGGAAGTGACACGAATTTAGGAACTTCCGGCTATATCTAGTCATTCTAGTCTTAGTTTTAATAACCATGAACATCCTACAGGTATTCAGTGTTCTATAAATAGATTATTCAAAGATTTCAAAGTATTTTTTTTAAATTCTTGAAATCTTTTTTAGTTAAGTTTGTAGGTACTCGAAATTTTGTATGTGCCTTACATATTTATATTGGTTGTACATTACTAGTAAGTAGTAATATTATTTTGTCCAGTACCTACTCCTTGAACAATATTTGAAATTTGAACTAAGGTCATAATGAGTATAAAATCTTAAGGCAATAAATAATAATATAATGGCAAAATATGGTTATTCCATTTTTTTTCGCTAAAATCCATCTTTCCGTTTACCGCCAGTACAATAACACGTATTTCCCTTTTTTACCATCTCAAATTTCCGTTTTTATATTTTGGTAATCTCTTACTATGAAAACACTTGAGTTATAGATAATCGGCAAAGGGTTTTAAAATAATTTACAATCTATACAAAAATTAATACAGTAAGCAAATTTGATAACTTATAATGGTTAGTGACAGGTGATTAACATTTAAAGGTAGGCACTTAGTAGCATCACCCAGCCGGGTATATTTTAAATATTATTATGATTTTTTTTTTTTTTAGTAGGTCTCTAAGCCACTGTCTTTCGAGTCTTCTACGTACATTACCAAGAAGTGAATTGTAGGATAGTTTTTTTATTCATGGATTACTGTGAGAGTTTAAGTTGTTGTGAAATTTAGAATAATATAATATAATAAAAATAAAATAGTAATAGTATGTATAAAATTTTAAATATTTGTTATTATATTAAATGAATCAAATGCATATACCTACATACTTTGATAAATTTGTATTATTTAGAACCCAAACATAATATTACAAATTAAAAAAATTATCTTGCGAAAAATAGTTTTTTGATTTGTATGTAAAAAAATAATGTGCTAAATGACCAATGGTACTTTTTAGTACCAGGATCAAAATGTTAAACTGACCAACGGTACTTCTAAGTACTAATAGAACTTACTCAAATTTGGGTTAAAATATTTTTTTTAAAAGGTGCAATTATTTATCAATAGGTCAATTGTTATATTTTTATGCAAAAAAAAAAAAAAAAAATGGGAAAATAATTTTAATTCTAAGTCTGGTCAACAAAGGGTTAATTGATTGAGTGAAGAAATTGTTAGGTCTTTATGAAGATTATTGTTTGTGAAGTACCAAGGGGAGAATATTATTACTCGTTGGCAGATCGATTATTAATTAAATATATATATATATATTTTAAAACATTAAATAAATATTATTTTATTGCATACATAGTATAAAATGTTATTACAAAAATAAAGTCAAAATTACGTCAATAAGTTATATAACATCAAGTCAAAAATTAATAGTACCTATTGATTTTAAAATCATCTAAAATTGTATTTTAAATAAACCTTATTTTTTTTTTATAGTTATACGCTATGGATTTACAAACGCATATTGGCAAATTTCTTCCATTTTTTATCGATAATTTTAAAACTGATTTTTTTTTTGTTAATTCAAAATTTAGTTTCACGGTGTTTTTGGTTCACTAATATTTCTTAATTTAAGATTAACATCAGTTTGCATTTCTTTGACTAAAAAATCTAACCATTGTAAATAGATGGCGCATGTCGATAAAAATATGTATGAAATGAGTGAAAAGGGGGGCAAAAACAAACAGGCGTTTGTCTCGAGTGGAAGTTTAAAAGATGCAACTATGCAAATGCTAAAGTGCCTAAAATTTTAGAATATAAATGCAATCTTCAAAAATATATGTTTCTTCAAAATAGTCGGGAAATTGTTGATAAAAAACTAAAATTTGTTTCACATGAAAATATTAGATATTATAGTTTTTTTTTCGTCATTAATTAATAAAAAGTTTTCATTTTGTTTGGTTTTCACATCAATTAAATTTAATACGTCATGAGCATTGACTGTAATATTAAGATTTTGAGGCATAATTTTATATCGATTTTCATAACTTTGCTGGTTATATTTAATTTGGGAATGGTAATATCTGAAGAATTATTATTTTGTGCGATTTCAGTAAGAATAATTCTTTTTGGATTTGTACTTTCATTTTCAATAGCTTTTCTTTTACGAAGTGTATTCATTACTTGTTTTTAAATGCTTTTCTAGAACATTCATCATGATTGTGCTGTGGTTTATTTATATTGTTGATAATTTTACTATTTTTATTTGTAAAAATTTTTGTTGTACAGTT